TAGAAGGGTAAGTGCAGTGCTACTTTCCAGGTCTGTCTTATCCCACGGCCATGCGCAATAAGGTGGCTCTAGGGTGCCTTCTGGGTCTGAGATTCTGTAACTTTAGAAATGGTTTTGAGGGGGTTGTCTGTTGGACCTGTCTTCAGAGTTCCCTGTCGGGGCTCAGAACGCGGAAGTCTGGGACAGTGCTGGACAATGCAGTCTCTCTCCAGGGTGATCGCTAATAATGGCCCCAGCAACTCCATGGCGGGTCTCATTCCTCCAGCTACATTTCTCTGGCCCACTTGGCATCCTGGCTGGAAGGACACAAGATCCACTCCCACTCCGAGTGCCCACAGACCTCAGCTGCCCTCATCCCCTGCCTCGAGATTACACAGGACACATTCAAAGCATTCTTCCTTTGAAGAAGGTCATCGGCTCTGGACTTGAGGTCAGATGCAGGAATTACTGAGGCTCCCGCTCTCATTTGGTCCCCTGCCCTTGGTTTAGCCGGTTGAGAGAAGAAGCCATTGACTTCAATGTTTTCTTAACCTTGACAAGCAAACAAGCGGGGGAGAAAAATCCACTGTGTGTTTTCTTCTCTCACAGGGCAAATTAAGAGGCCCTTCTGGATCCTTCTTAGTGGGGGTGGATGTGGTATTGGGAAGGATAAATGTTTTTAAAGACTGCCGGAGTCACTGAGATTATGTGGTTTTCACAGATAGGGTATGTGTGTGTGTTCCATCTTGCAGATTTTCACGACCAAATGCAATCACCCGAAGCCTGAAATGAAGCTGGAATCATCTGTGCCTCTTTGTATGCCAGTATCTCCAACGAGCTCAGGAATTTCAGTTTCCTGGAACGCAGACCTATGATGTGAAATGTTTCAGTTTCTGACCCTTGGCAATCCTAATATGCCCATTGCTCTTCCCAGCCTAGAACGGACCCTTGCATCCATTTACAAACACTTCTTGCACAAGACAAGGAAGAGACATCAAGGACGGAGATCCAAATATCAAAATTGTCCTTTGAAAAATACAACTGGTTACTGGATTCAAACCCTCTGCTGTAACTGGGCACAATATTCTCTTTCAAAGATATTTCTTTTTATGTTTAGGTTTTACAGTGCATGAAGAGCAAACAGACACCCATAGGGATGTGGTGTTGGCTGGTGCTCAATGGAATTGTGAAGGAAAGAACACTGAATTTCCCCAACCTCCTTGTTTGCAACCTTTTACCACCTCTTAGCGACTCCCCTGCCCCAGATGTCCCTGCTCTAAGGACATTCTCTCCCAACAGAGAACAAACAAGGCTATGTAATAAATGAATTCAAAGGGAAAAAATTAGGAATGTGTTGCAATGCTTTATACTGACATGAAACCATACATTTTAAAAGATAACCTCTAAAGAGAGGGGCACTTTATAGGAACCAGTTTCCTTTTAGAGGCAGGGTAAAACGTCCTCAATTCTCCTCCTCATGAGAATCGCTGGGGTAGGGGCGTGTGCATAAAACATGACCTTCCCCAGCCTTATTCCTGACCTGGGGGAAGAATCTAAAAGTTGGTGTTCTGGGTCATTTTTGTGACTAGCTGAGCTTGGGGATCACTGCACTCTACACCCACACAGAGTTGAAGGTCCCGTGGAATTGTAGAAATTGTGCTTCTTAGGGAAGGAGATCTGTGTTTGATTTTTTGGTTCTGTTACTCAACAAGTGGCTTGAGCCTCCTTGAGTCAAGCCTGTAAATCGGATTAATTGTCCGGCTTTTGCTGGGTTGTTATGCACATGGAAATCATGAACATAGAGGCCTGGCATAAGGTTCTCTGATACAAGGCTACATGCTCAGTTAATGATAGTTCTTATGAGTGTTGAGTAAGAATTTGCACATGTCAGACGTCTTTGATCATTTCAAATGGGTGTTCAGAATCCTTTTGAAAAAAATTTACTTAAATGCTTTCACACAGGAGCACCTTGCTGGCTCAGTCTGTAGAGCATGCAACTCTTGACCTCAGGGTTATGGGTTCGAGCCCCATATTGGATGTAGCGATTACTTTAAAAAAATAATTAAAAATCTTTAAAAAGAAAGGAAGAAAGAAAGAAATGCTTTCAAACATATATAAAAGTGCATAAAATAGGGATGCCTGGGTGGCTCGGTTGGTTAAGCGTCTGCCTTCGTCTCAGGTCATGGTCTAGGGTCCTGGGATTGAGTCCTTCATCGGGCTCCCTGCTCAGCAGGGATCCTGCTTCTCCTTCTGCCTGCCACTCTCCCTTTCTCTTTCTTTCTCTATCTCTATCTCCCTGACAAATAAATAAAAATTTTTTAAAGTATATAAACTAATATAATAACTCTTCTCATACCTATTACCTTGCCTTTACAAGGATCAGCATGTTGACCTGCCTTCTTGTAATTCTGTTCTGTTTTTTAAGTGGTAAGAAATGTAATGATTCCCAAGGTAACCTGTGCTTGGTATTTTAAACCTTCTGAGAGCCAGTGCTCTCAGAATGAATGGGAGAAGGGGGATAACGTATGTTAACATAGGCTAGAAAACATATGCTAGATGACAGACACCAGAAAAACCCATTACAGTTCTGACCATACAAAATTCATCATCACAACTCAGGCCCCTAGGCCCACAGGCATGTCCACAGAGAGGCCTGCGTCCTGGACCACATTGAATGCTGTCAGTGGTATTGTAGAGTTAACTCCAGCTAAGACAAATATGTTTCTAAACTACGAAACCCATAGAGTGGCTTCAGGTCCAACCCACCCCTCCACCCAGACTGTATGTTTTATGCAGAAAACTGTGTCAGAGCAGCTTTTCATCAGGGTAAAGAACAAAATCACCGAGGAGGCTGGAGTCCTGGGCCTGGTGTGCTGGCTGAAAGGTCTGGTATTTGAGAGTATGAAGGACATTCGGGACTTCTCTCTTCCCAACAACCCGTGGCAGTCCTCACATCTGCCAGGGGACGTGTGGTCCTTGTCGTTGGTTTCTAAGGCTCATCGTTCTTGAATCCTTGGTGTGACGTACTGAAGCCCCCAGTGAGAACTCACAGCTCCTAATGTTTCTTTATTCATAAGTTAACCATTGAATGGGAAGCAGATCAGCAGAATAAACCAGACTCCAAGCCCAAACAAAATATGAATAGGAAGGAAGAAACAAACCAGCAGCGGAGCTCAGAGCTCAGCTCTGCTTACTTCAGGGTAGAAATCAGAATTGAGCACCATCCAGCGCTTCTATGAATCCAGGGCCAAAGATGGTTCCCTGGGGCTTGGGCCACAGGGAAGGGGGTTGCCGGAGCCCTGAGGCCCCACTGAGGTGGCGGTAACTCTGGGGCCCATGAAAAGAAGACACAGACACTCAAAGCGTTGAGGGAGCAGAAGGCCAGCTGAGGGCAAAGCACAAGCTGACATTCAGCAACCTCCTCCCCACCCCCCACCCGCCTGAACATTGTGGGATCTGTGTGACATTTCTCAGGCACTCCTAGCTGCCCAAGAACAAAGGAAAGGGAAAAACAAATGGTTAACTGATAGAGATCACAGTCTTGTAGGACAGGAGTCTCCATCAGTTTGCAACTGTCTTAATGATTTACAAGAAAAAAGCAATCTCCAGAAACCTAGAGACTAATTTCCCTAACATCACCTTCCCCTCCATAGGATAGAAAATCTTATATAACCCAGTTACTCCTCACGAGCCCAGTGCAGCTCTTTCTGCCCATGGGTCTTGTCCCTGTGGTTTAATAATAGCACCTTTTTCCACCAAAGATGTCTCAAGAATTTTTTCTTGGCCCCACCTTTTCAAACCACATCAAAAGTATGGAAGCCATGTTTGGTTCTCTTGTTCTGACACTGCTCACCTCAGGAATTCTCCAGAAAAACTCCAAAGAAATATCACACATACAGTCAGACATCTGAAGAAGGCTGCAAAGCTCCTGATTCCACGGCTCATCACCCACGCCTCCTTAACCTTCTAGAAGGATGGCTTTTCCACAGTGGGAGTGTGGCTTATTGCAAACTTAACCCAGAGCACTGCCTGTCACATACTCACATACTCGCATTCCTGCCAGGTCACTTGCCTGCCTGCCCAGCTCCCTCCCTGAAGGTTGATAACCTCTCCCCACCCCCCCCCAATGCCCTGTGACTACAAAGTGATGAGACTTATCTCCAGAGCCAGATCTGGAACTCTGTCTTGTTACTTTTCAGTCACACTGGGCATGTGACGCACTTGGAACACCTCAGAGGACAGAAAGGTCAGAAAGGTGTCATGGTTTACTTAAAGGACTCAAAACTGTTAATCATGGCTAAGGGTGGGGGGGGGGAGAAAGGAAAGGAGGAGGGAAGGAAGAAAGGGTGGGCAGTGGGCCACAAGTTACAAATTATCAAGAAGTCCAGCTCCTATTTTATATTAGTTTAAACCAAAATCATTTCCTCATTTGCTAGGACTGTTTACTTCCTTGGGATAAGCTTTTCGTTCAGTCTGAGGTGAGGAGGAATAACAAGTCGGCTAAAAAAATTTTCCTTTAAATTGTGGAAAAGTCTCAGAGAATCTCTTAGCAAAGCCAAAGCTTGTTCTGACAGTCTTTGAAGCTCTCTGTCTTAACTTCATACTGAGTTCACCTTTGCGGTTTTTGTTACTGTAATGACAACGTGACTTTCTCTCATGCTTTCCCTTTTAACGTTGCTTTCCTCATTATAAATCATCTCATCATAATATTCTTACCCCAAGTGAAGAAAAACACCAGACAAAATGGGGGATACAAATTTAACCATTCACTGAATTCACTTCCACCCCTCCCCAACTCTGTCAGCAGCCATAGGACCAAACCTAGGGCATCTTCCAGGCCCCCCTCAGCACAATGGTCATCACCATATCAAAGAATCCCATGGTGGTAATTCAGGCAATGGCATCTTGCACCTGAAGTATCTGGACAAGTGCCCGCAGCCACTGGCTGGCCAAGGCTTCTTGGAAAATAAAGGCTCCCCCAGGGGCCACCTTTTGTTCTCTTCCCTGTAAATGAAACTCACCAGCTCCTGGAAGCCGCCTGCCCACTTTTGGTAGGATATTCCTCCCTTGAAGGAATTGGAACGAGAAGCCGGAGGAAAGGGCTCCTTCTCTCCCAAGGTCTGCCCGGGTATCTCTCTCCTGGGCCACCTGGTCCCCCTCTGATGCCTTTGTACAGCTGGTGTTGACATCAGGTTAATTACACAGTCCTGTGTTTACACACGGATCTCCAGAAAGGCAGGGAGCAAGTTCGCTGTGCAGGGGTGAGTTTCAAAGCTCATTCACTTCATTTACTTTTCCTTAACTTCTGAAAGTGGTCTTCCCAAACACCAGCTGGTGGGGGATGCACACACATGCCCAGCGTACAGGCAAATAGCCTCATATCCTCTTTGTCAGTGAAGAAATGGGCATAAGGTAGAAGCTTCTGGTCCAAGGCCACACCGCAAGCATGTCAGCCACAGAGCCAAAGAGGACGGGATTGGGGGCGGGGGTGGATAGGCACATGTTCCTCCGCTCCCACCCTGGGCAGCTCCAGCTCCTCTGAGCAGCATATGCTCTTTGTGTATCTCAAAGCTTGATGAAGGCAAACAACATTGAAGGGCGTACATATGCAAATGCTGCACTGTTTGCTCACCCCTTGGCTTTCTAAAATTTGTATCTGAATTATTGAGGGCCAGCCATTTGGTGCGATATATAAATGAAAGCTCCCTGAGGGCAGGGAATGTTGATGTTTTCTTGGCTGCAGTAGTATCCCCAGTGCCTAGACCTGTACCTGGCTTATAGCCGGGGCACAATAAATCCGAGCTAAATGGTGACTGAATTTTGACCGTGTTCTGCTAGCCTTCCTTGCCAACAGTTGGGCCCTGCCTGCCTGATGTGCCTTTGTGGGGTCTGTACTCATTACCCATCTCAGTGATAAAGGCCATTTAAGGGGGCTTTTCGTTGAGCTTCCCTGAAGAAATCACAGAAGACCACATCTAGAACGGCCTCTATGCTACAGATTATCTTAGCCTATACAACTATACAAGTATTAGGAGTAAAATGGTTTGTTTAAGCTCCCTCTGTTTTAATGCCTGCTATAAACTGAATTATGTCCCACCCAAATTCATACACTGAAGCCCCTTACCCCCAGTAGGAGAGTATCTGGAGTGGCGCCCTGTGTTCTCTCTCCTCTCTCGAAATTTCTCTCCCTGATACGGTGACAAGGCAGTCATCTTCAAATCAGAGAGATGGTTCTCCCCAGAATCTGGCCATTTTGGCACCCTGATCTCAGACTTCCAGCCTCCAGAACAGTGAGAAAATATATGTCTGTTATTCGAGCCACCTGATCTGTGGCATTCTGTTAGGACAGTCCAAGCTAACTAAGACAAAATCCCAAACTGGCTTTCCTACTGTAGCTTTGTGTCAGTCCTAGGCACGCTGGTCATCCTGGGCAGAGCTCCTGGGCGGAACAGTGATGTAGAGGGTTTACAGAGAAGGCCAAGTCCTCACGATTGTGACCTCAGCTCTGGAAAACTGAACGGATACACAGGTTCTTATTAGGTATGCATTTTAGGGGAAGACACTGTTAAAACACTAAGCCAGGCCTGGCAAATTGAGCCTTTGTGTGGGGCAGCTCTCCTAATTCGAGGGCATTTTGTTTCAGAAACAATCTCAGTGGGTCCTATGAATTGGAATCATCACATTCCTCCCCATTCCACTTGCTAGAAAGCACGTGTTTCTCTCTGCCTTTCCCCTAGGCAACTGAAGTTATTTGTGGGAAAACCCTTATTTCCTGGGTGGAAAATCTAAAGTAGGCAGATGGATGAGTGATGACCTGTACAGAAACGCAGCAGAGAATCGTAAATTACCTTTTTAAAAAACCTTGTACATTTTTTTATACACAGATATGTGGTTCATTTTTCTTCGAAGGTTATTTCACAGACGGTCTGGAAAATACATACTGTGAAAAGGAGGCGCATCTTCAGCTCTTGGGAACAATTTTGGTCCTTACATCTTAGCAATCCTAAGCATCAAAGAAACTCTGATTATCTCAAGTCGTGCCCAACTTGGCATCATACTTTCTTCCGACTTTGGAGAGCGCACTGGTTCAAATGCTCAGGCTAGCAGGGGCTCTGCTAGCCCTCAGAGGCTCCTGTGTGACCAGCAGGCCATTTTGCTAGGTGTTACAATCTTTGGGAGTAGGCACCCATAGATCCTGGGCCTGAAAATAAACCACTTGGCAGACTCAGGAAAATTCTCCTGAACCTCATGCTGCTGGTTCTGTCCCACACGGGATAACCCCATCCTGCCACATTCTTCCAGAGTCAGAAGTTCACCTGGTCCCTGGGCTTGCTGAGATCAGAGGAGGGAACGCTATGAAAGGCGACCAAGAATGAGTTCCCTGGAGGTGGTGAGTCTGCAGAGGAAGAAGTAGAGAGCGGCCACCGGAGGCTGCCTTCACTGGGACAGACCGCTCTCCAGTGGCTGCTTCCTTGGGTGTCTGCCGATCTGAAGGCCCATGCCTGCCTGGGGTGACTGGAAAACTGCTCTCTGGGGGTGCTCACACACAGCCATCCTGCCAGAAGTGGGGGCCAGCTAGAAGACTTGTCTTTGAAACGGCACTTTCAGCTTGAGAAAACATTAATTGTTCATTGAAGGCATTGGAGAAGTGAGTATAATGGGGTATGTGGGGGGTCTCAACCCCAAAATCCACCTGCCTGGCATGGCACTGATGTGCAAAACACTAGAGGCAACTGTATATGAGAAACTGAGTGGCAGACTTCTCTAAGAATTCTGAAAAATGCCCACTCTTTCTTTGGCAACGAACACGAACCTACTTAATGTATTTAATTAATCAAGACTGAGAAAGATTTTCCACTGGGAGAAGTCACATGCATCCCTTGTATCTCCCAGAATATATAACGTCTAGAAAGCTCCAGTGACATTTTCATGTCTTCCTGGTGCCATGCCAGTAAATGGGCGGCGAGAAATGTTTATACCAAGAGTCATTACCAAAGTTTTCCTCGCGGCTGAATCTAATTAATTAAGCTCAGCCAAACCTGCCAGCCACACCCAGGACCCAGCCAAAGAACCTTAGAGGATTCTGAAACACCCCTTTAGCAAACACTCATTTATTACTACCTGTATTCAGTGAATCACCTTGACATCAGATACCGCCCTCCAGAACTTCCTGAAAACAGTGCTTTATAAAATAAAAGTCAAAGACCTCTGCTTTATTTTTCATTAAGGAATATCTTTATGTTCTCTAAGACTCATAGCAATAGTGCTCGATAGTCCTCAAATACTTTACAAATATTAATTTGTATTCTACTTTGACTCATATTTTGCCCAGAACCAAGAATAATGCGATCAATTTTCTTCAGTCCCATGTCAAAGGACAAGTTAGTTCCCACCAGCCCCGTTTGTTTTCCCTGAATGGTGTGAGCCTTATTTTTTCTCCAAAGGCTGTACCATTTCCAGAATGGGTTAGAAACTCATCTGAGCCACGCTACCACCACCCCAAACCCTACATTTCTTGGAGGGCTCTGGAAAGTTACTCCAGAGCAAACTCACATCCATGGGTACCTTTGGACCCAGAGTTTGTCAACACACATGTATGGGGTGCTGATTCCATGCCCGTACTGTTCAAAGTCCTGGGTAAACAACATAGATGGTCATGTTCCCTGCTCTCCTGAGGTTCATCTTCTAGTGGAGGGTGGCAGGGTAGGGGGAAAAGTAAACAAATAAACAAAGAAGTCATTTCTGATAGTGACAAGTGGTAGGAAGACAACATAAAGGACACTGGAGAGTGACTGGGGATGTGTGTGCTGGTTGGTCGGGGAAGGATTGCTTAGGGAATAGCAGTTTAGTTGACACCTGAATGATAATATTTTATGTTAATCGTGTCATGTTCGGTCTGATCTACTTCTCTATTTTTTTTTTAAGATTTTATTTATTTGTTTGAGAAAGAGAGCACACACACGCATGCTCACGTGCAAGCAGGAGAGGAGAGCAGAGGGAGAGAATCTCAAGCAGACTCCCCACCAAGCCAGTTGCCTAGTGCGAGGCTCAACCCCACAACCCCAAGATCATGACCTGAGCTGGAGTCAAGAATCAGATGCCCAACTGACTAAGCCACCCAGGCACCCCCATACCTCTCTATTTTTAAAGCAATTCCACGAAGACAAATACTCAAATAGAGCAGAGAGTGATCAGGAAAGCATTGTCCTCTCATACTTTTTGGTTTTTGAGTGGGAGGAGATATACGGGGAATGATGGTAAATTGGTTGTGTCTGAAGGGGTCGACATTGCAGTATCTACCAAAGTTTAAAATGCACTGTCCTTTGGCCCAACAACCCTACTTCTAGGACTTTTGTCTATAGGAATAATAGCACTTATGTATGAATACACGTGTGTGTGTGTGTGTGTGTGTGTGTGTAAGGATTTCACCACAGCACAGCTTGTAGTCCAAAAGTTCATCAGCAAATTCTAGAACATCCATAGCAAAGAATGTTTTGCAGTCATTAAAAAGAATGAGGTTGAGCTCCAAGACAAACTAAGTGAAGAAAAGCAAGGCGCATAAACCACATGTTCAATATACTACCACCTTTTAAAATGTCTATACACACATACATATTATCTTTGGAGAGGGATACAAGAAATTGATAGCAGTTTTTGCCTTAGCCGGTATTAGAGGAGAATCAGGGAGACTCTATATTCTTTTGTGACATTTGCATTTTTTATGTATCGCATGTCTTAGCTAGTTAATAACCATGTTTTGACCATCAAAGCTTCACAGTATAAGTAAATACATAATATTCACACAAAATTCTTCCCATGTGTCCTTCTACATCACAGTTCTAGCCAGAATGAATTTTAAATGTTCAAAGTGCCAAAGCTCCTAAAGTCAGTTGTGTTGTCAACTTGCTGGTGGGCTCAACGTTAGGACACTTCCCAGCTTGGACTTGGTTGGGGCTCTGGGAGAGTGAAAGTAGGAAATGTTTCAGAAAAGGCGTTTTCTTTTGCAATGAACATCCTTTTGGAAAGACTGTGCACTCATTTCGAATCCATTCAAATATCTGAACAACTGACCTGACTGGTGTTCAGAGAGAGAACCAAAAAAAAATACGATTTGTCTTTAAATATACTTCCCAGTGTCTATACGATATTTTAATTTTCCTCCAAGTTAGAACAGACGTTTTCTAAGAATGAACTTGTTCCAACGAGAATGTTTTTCTTAGCTCTCACAGCTATTTCATGTTCTGGTCCATTTATGATTATGGACTGATAAGAGTCTTCAGCTACTAGTAAAATTTTAAGAAATATGAT